GAAAATGGCAGAAGCTGCAACAACTGATGGAGGGTAGCAAAGCATGTTGTACTCCAGCAGAGATAGTTCACTGATGTAATTTACTAAGAAGCATTCGAACTGCATTGATGGGACCTCATCGATTACTTGAGCAGCTCTCACAAATCGTCTTCATAACAAGGGCCATGCAACGATAACAAGAAGTCAGCACACAGAAGCCAAGAAAAAGCAGAACTGCAGAAGGCAGTGCAATGGATGAATGCAAGTTACCAGTAATGGAACGTCACTCAACAAGAAACCTGGAAACTTGTTACTTATGCAGTAATCATCATGGAGGCAACACCAAGCAATTGCAAACTTTGCTTGTTCATCACATTGCCGGAGAGATATCGATCAATGTATTTAACGGACAGATACAAGGTATCTGGCACAAGTCTACTTTTGTGCAACCTCTACAAACGTGGTTGATCATCTTCAGCAACCCAAAAAAAGACAGATGACTGGACAAATTGAGATTTTGTCAAAGTAATTCACCTGCTGCTAATTCATTATCAGTAATATAGAGCTTGTTCAATGCCTTCTTGTTGATAGAATCAATCTCATGCAAGTCATTATTGTTCACGTACTCAATATCACGGCTTTTGAAGGAATCACAGGAAGTTTCATCTCATTTAGTTGGAGCCACATTCATCTCACAGTAAGCAGGAGGCTTGACAATGCTTGAGTCAACTTCATGGCTTCTTCGTGCAGATGTGACCTCAATCTTAGTCGGTTTCACCACTGCCATAATTGAAAGCTCCAAGTATCAATAATCATGTTCACCTAGTGCTGCAATCAAGAACTAACACCAAAGACGGGACAACTAGAGCAAAGAACGAAGAAGTTAGATTTTAGAAAACCCCTAACCTGATTTCTACGGCGCCTGCTGAAGCACTCAAACGACCTCCTCGAACTCATTTTCCATTAAACCTTTGTTATGCAGAAAAACCACAACGAAAAATCACACCAAAGCATCACAACAAAGTAAGAATTAGAACATTAACCTCAACAGATAACTATCAGTTCTTACTTGATGCAAATACCAATTCACCTGCGGAGAAGGAATTTGCCAGAGTTGGAGGCGGGATTATTCGCGATCAATTCCCCTGCGACAAGAGCTTCCAGAACCCTAGCTCAGCAAAGAGAAATCAGAGAGACAAAGGAGAAGGCCTCACAGTTCCGAGGCGGCGACCGTGCTCGAGATCAAAATCACATCGGCGCTGGTGAGGGATTGCACTCCATGGCTAGGGATTGGAGTGACGCTCGTGCTCCAGCGTATTCGGCTTGCGTGTTCTCTCGATGATGCCAGGGGCGACTCGAGCTATAGGTCTTCTTTCGTGATCTCACAATGATGCCAGGGACGACCTCGTGCTCCTTCGCCTCCATGACTTTCTCAATGACGGCGGTGACGAGAGTGCCAATCTTGTCATCGGGGATCAAGATGACGGCGCCTGGAGCTATCTTTGGGAAACTGGAATTGCCGGATCTCAATGAAGCAAATAAGGAATGTAAATTAAGAGGAGACGAGAGAAGATGAGAAATTGGAGTCAGAATCGGAATTGAGAAGAGAAGGAGGAGGAGGAGGAGGAGACTGAAGACGAAAATTCAGGTTAAGCGGAAGAAGGAAGGAGATAGAGGAGGAAAAAAGCGTAAAGACTAAAGATGGATTCTTATGCATAACTATTACTACAGCCACTAAGTTTCAGTAATAGTTACACACAGTACCTACATTTTTATACAAGAGCAACACAATGACAACCAAATAATTTAGTTGTTGAATTTTCTTATTGGATTTGCAACCAAATTATTTAGTTATTTAAAATTTTGAAAATTCTTATTTAAACTCATAACCAATTATATTTGGTTGGATAAAAGTAAAAATTATTATATTACCAAATTTTTTGGTTGGAAAAGCTAAAAATAATTTTGCTACCAAAATTATTTGGTTGGAAAAAAGTATAAATACTTTTGCTACCAAATAATTTGGTTGGGAAAAGGTATAAATTCTTTTGCTACCAAATTATTTGGTCTCTTCTAGTTTTATTTGGTTATCTGGTTATCGATACTTTGGTTTTAATAAGCAACCAAATTGTTAATATTTTGGCTACCAAAATTTAATTGGTTGTAAATACTAACCTTTTCTCAACCAATTTTAGTTTGGTTGTAAAAATTTTGGTCGCGAAACCTACTTTTTGTTGTAGTGATATATTCGAAATTGGTAAAGAGAGATCATTTCATGAAATTTTGGCATGACCTTTATGCATCATGATTAGTGTGGGATGGTCTAACCGTTCATGCTAAATAATCACTTTATCAATATGGTAAACTTCAGGTATACAGTGTCAAGAACCAGTTGCTCCCACTAACTCGAGTTGTTGGGAGAGGTTCGATCGTAGATCATATACCACTTGCATTAATATGTTTCAATACTTTTACTTCAAGAAGAAAAATCCGTTAGTGAGAACAAATCCACTTTCTTAATTACCACAATGACATATATTATTTAATAAGTTAAACAACAAGGATAATATAAGGGGACGTGACTGAAGTGGTACGACTCTTTTTCCTCACCTTTAATGTGTCAAGGTTTGAGCTTCATTGCTTCATTGATGCTAGATTTAGTACCCTATTCTTTTTGTTTCACCAAAAGAAAATAGTTAGAAACAAAATACAACACAATGCCATGCTTTATTGTCCATTAAATTCGATATGCTTCTGATATTTTGAGAATTATGTTGACCGACACGTTACCCTTCCTCTTTTATTACATTTCACATTTTCAAACCAAAATCTCACAATTTCTTCTCAATATGAACAAAGCAGAAGAGAACATAGACCTCTACCACTCGACTAGTGAGTATAGATGAGATGCATACAAGCACGATCACAAAGATGAGTTAGAGGAGACCCAAACTTGAAGAGCATATATGGATGCACGACATAAGCAACTATTTGAGTAGTAGACAATTGACAATGAGATGCTGTAGAGGCAGGAGCAGGGGCGTAGCCAGAAAATTAGTTAAGGTGAGTCTATTTATAAAATATTAAAATATTAATATTAAAAAAAGATATTTATATATAATTAATATTTAATTAAAATAATTTTTAAATTTAAAGTGTGAGTAAATTTAAATTAGACAAATCAATACAAGGAAGGAAAGAAAATCAAATAAAAAAGTTGAACAAAAATTAATGTTATTAAACTAGAAAAGTTGAAGTAAGAAGAGAATGAGTTTAATTTGACTATAAAAGAGTAAAACTTACATGAGATAAGATCAAATATTGATAGTACACAAATCAATACAAGAAAGGAAAGAAAATCAAATAAAAAATTTGAATAAAAAATTAATTTTATTAAATTAGAAGAGTAAAAAGGGAATGAGTTTAATTTGACTATAAAAGAATAAAACTTAGATGAGATAAGATTTAAACTTGGGACCTTGCATTTATTAAACAATATACTAACCATATAGACAACTTTAATTTCTTGATTATATTTTGAAAGTCCGAGTACTATATATACCTATTTGTTTATTTGTCGATTTTTCAAACACCCAAATATGATACATATATATATATTGTCATCTCCCGAGCCAAGTTGGGTCCAATTGTATTCTGGCTCCGCCCTTGGGCAGGATGTTTGGACGAGAAACTATGATTAGAAGTTCGACAACCAAAGATGTGGAGCATGATCTTAGAATCTCGTGCCCCTATGTTCGATGGATACTATTTGTTTTTTTTTTTTCTATTCCTTTTTATTTGAATACTAGCTATTAATAATACTAAGTATGTATGAACAAGGGATTAGTCTAGAGATAATATCACTAACCTTGAACTTGGAGGTCGCATGTTCTTATGTGCAATTACTTTTATTTTCCCCTAGTTGTGTCGATATAATAAAAAATTTATAGATATTAGAGAAAACATAAGAACATGTTTAGCATAACGCTTATTTTACCTAATTGTATAAAACATAGTGTTTAAAGGGTGTTATTTTTCCCTAATTGTAGAAACATATTGTTTAAAGGGTGTTAACCTTAATCCATTAATAAATACCGGAGTTGGGACTCCATTTTGGTCAAAATAGAGCCAATAGCTTAAATCATTACAAAGAGAATGAAAATTATGTAGTGACGTTGAATGTGCAAGTTATTATGAGGGATTTTATTCTTAATTGTGCTCACTCAAAATCTTTCATCAATTTATTACTCATTATTTTATGCTGAAGTGTTTCTTCACTTTATTCATCGCAGTAAGTGCTCTTTCAACATTTGCAATAAAAACTGATAACAACAAACCCATTAAGTGACTTGTGTTTGTTTTTGTTTATTTTCAAGAGCTCGATGGCTTCTCTCGTTTTCTCTGAAATTTCCCCGGTGACTACGGCTCCCACTCCCTCCGGCCGGCCACCGGACCCCACGATTCCACCTCCAGTGGTACCAACTGTCAGTGATCCAGCCGGGGTTGATGTCTCAACAGAGTCATCTCCAATGGCGGTGGACAAAAGTGCCTCGAAAGATGATCAGGCAGCTGCTAATCTGAATCCCTCCAAGCAACCTCCAACCTCGTATGCTAAAGCGGTGGCCGGAGCGGAACAGCAAGGGGCCTTAGCCATCCCAGAATGGACCCCGGTTGGGGAACATGATCTGATCCCCGGCCAAGTTAATGGAGAGCCTGCTCTTCGTATCTCTGCTGGTTTTAAAGGCCGACTCTGCGCGCCTTGGCAAAAAACCCTGGTGGTGCGTCTTCTGGGGCTTCGTTTAAACTTCACTACTCTCTGCTCTCGGCTTCGAGGGCTATGGCGGCCCACCGGAGCGATGGAGGTTATGGATTTGGATGAAGCTTGTTACCTTGTGCAGCTGTCAAATGATCAGGATTACTTTAAAGTGCTCACGGATGGACCTTGGGTTATCTACGATCACTATCTGGCAGTTCAGCAGTGGACACCGAATTTTGGGGTCCTTGATCCCCTGCCGAAGACCATGATAGTTTGGGTTCAGCTTCCAGCACTTAAGGTTCATTTTTACCACCGTGAGATTCTTACTTCCCTGGGAAACCTCATTGGCCGCACGATTAAGCTCGACTATCATACAATCAATCGACAGCGCAGGAAATTCGCTCGCTTGGCTGTGGTAATTGACATGTCCAAACACCTCGTTCCCCGCATCTTCTTGGACGACCAATGGCAGAAAGTGGTGTATGAGAACCTTCCGAAGGTTTGTTTCGAGTGTGGAAAGGTTGGCCACAAATCTGACGACTGCCCGTTGCTCCGACCGGCGACAACTTCTGTTCAGCTGACTGTTGCCGGCGAGCAAAGTCCGGCCAGCCCCGTTACCGTTGGGGAGGAGGATCATCCGGGATTTGGGCCTTGGATGCTAGTCTCCAAGAAAAGCCGCCGTAATTCTAGGGATATGCCAAAGAAAGGTAAGGCTGAGCAATCTATGGAAAACGGAAATCAAGGACAGGCAAACAAGCACGAGAAAGGAGGAGGCAGAATTAAAGATGGAGATGCTCTCCCGTTTGCCTCTGCGGAGGCGAAGAATCATCCCTCCCAACGTGCACAAGAACAAGAAAGGAAAGGAAATACTATTCGAAGTGGCTGGGAATCTTCGTCGACTGCAGGCAAAGGGGCTTCTAAAGGTAAGGAAGTTATGCGGGCTGATAAGGAGCTGGGTAAGGGACTTTTGGGTCCCGGCCCAGGGAAGGGACTGAACAAAATCGGGGGGCCTCAGCCCACTCCTGATTCAAACAAGGCTTCCTCGTCGGCCCAAGTTCCAACTTCTCCTAAAGGATTGTCTTCCCGGTCAGACCTGCTTGACCCTCCTCAAGGCGATGGGCCTGTGGCGGATAATGGGGCAGGGCCCAATAAACAATCACCTGTCCAAATGGTTGTTGGGTCAAATGGCACTAAGATGCAAATTATTACAGTTCCATCATCCCCGAAGAAGAATCGACAAACCGAGACCAGATCCCCATCGGCGGCGGAACGAACGAAAAACAAGAAAAACTCTCGGCGCCAGACTAAGAGGACTACCCCAGTGAAACTTCAAGCTTCGAAGGCTCTGCAGGTCTGGTCCCCCGTGAAAGATAGAAAGGTCAAAGCCAAAGCTCGGATGGCGTCTCTTACTCTTCAAGAGATCAACGCCTGGACTGGAGTGATGGTCAAAGCCGAATCAAGTCTGAAACTTAGGGATAATTGTTTAGCCCCAACGGAGAAATCCGCTTTGGTGGATGACCCGGTCGCTGCCCCTGCCACGTCGAGTTAACCCGGTGATTTCGTTCTCGAGCCCTCTCCCTTTAGTTTCTTTGCTTTTATTTCCCTTTAATGTCTGTGCCTACTTTAAATAGTCTTAACATCCTCGCTTGGAATGTGGGTGGCGCTGGGAGCAGAGCCTTCTCTCGTGCTCTTAAGCTGACTATCCAGACCCATAAACCTGATTTTGTTTTTATTCTCGAGCAGCAGATCAGTGGCAATGCGGCTAACTCTGTTTGTGACAGGATGGGCTTCCCGGACGTGATTCGTGTGGAAGCTGAGGGAAGGCAGGGTGGAATTTGGATCTTTTGGGATGCTCGTCGCTTCAAAACCCAAGTCATTCGGCCTGCTCCCAACACATCACCATTCGAGTTTCACAAAGCAATATGGCTGATTGGATGCTCACGGCGGTTTATGCTTCCCCTCGCCCTGCCAGGCAGAGACCTCTCCGGGACAGCATCTCGGCTCAAAGCAGAAACATCGATATTCCTTGGATCCTCACTGGGGACTTTAACGCCATTAGATCCCCAGCAGAGAAATCCGGGGCTGCGTCGGTGGCTACCCTGCGGAGATGTCGTGTTTTTAACGAGAGAATTAATGATGCTGATCTGGTGGATCTCGGATTCTCTGGCCCTAACTTCACTTGGTCGAGGGGAGAAGATACGGGCACCTACAAGGCCAGCAGAATCGACAGGAGCTTATGCAACATCGTGTGGAACTCTGACCACAACCCCATTCTCACCTCTTTTGCTTCCCAGGGGCAATCTTCTAACCTCCCTCGTACCTTCAAGTTTGAGGCGGCATGGCTTACTAATAATACTTTTCTATCTACCATTGCAGGTGCTTGGGACTCCTCTGTTTCCCTACCAAACGCGCTCTCAAACCTTAGTTCGGCGCTGCAGGCTTGGAAAAGGGATGTCTTCGGGAATGTGCAGCAGAGGAAGAGGAGGTTACTTGGGCGTATCCGGGGAATTGAGATGCGCCTCTCTGAAGCTTTTCACCCGGGGCTGGCTAAGCTTCACTCCAAGCTCGAAGCAGAGCTGGATACGGTCTTGGAGCAGGAGGAGCTTATTTGGTACCAGAGGTCCAGGGAGAGCTGGGTCAAGTTTGGAGAACGCAACACAAGCTACTTTCATCAGCAGGCTAACATCAAGAGACGCAGGAAAAAGATTACTTCGCTTCGGGACCCGGCCGGAGTTTGGATCGATGACCCTCAAGCCTTGGCTTGTATGGTGTTTGATTTTTATACTAACCTTTACCTGCAGGATAGCTCTGTGTATGAAGACAGGTTGCCAAAGAACGCCTTCCCCCGGATGGCTCAAGACGACCTCCTTTCTTTGCTGAGATCGTTCACCTCTATGGACATCCATAAGGCGATCTTAGAGATAAAGCCTTTTCAAGCTCCGGGCCCAGACGGTTTTCATGCTGCCTTCTACCAGCAGGCCTGGAGGGTGGTTGGGAAGGCCTTAACGGATATGGCTCTTGAGTTCTTCAATTCAGGAGTCCTACCTGAAGCGGTCTCTGAGTCAACTGTTGTTCTCATTCCCAAAGTCGATCACCCGGAATTTGTGACCCAGCTTCGCCCTATCTCGCTTAATAATGTGAGCCTCAAGGCTATTACCAAAGCTATCACGAGTAGACTGAAGCTGGTCATGAGGAAGCTCATCTCCCCTCGTCAAAGCAGCTTCATTCCGGGCCGTCAGACAACGGATAATGTGATTGTGGTGCAGGAGGTTCTCCACCTTAGAAAGAGGAAAGGAATGAAAGGGGGTCTAATCCTGAAGATCGACCTCGAGAAAGCTTATGACATGCTCCGCTGGGACTTCCTTCGTGACACCCTGAAGGAGGTGGGGCTCCCCAGTTCTTGGATCCGATGCATCATGCACTGTGTGGAGCAGAATAAAATGCGCGTGTTATGGGATAACACCTTGTCCTCCCCCATCACCCCTACTCGTGGAGTTCGCCAGGGAGACCCTCTTTCTCCTTATCTTTTCGTTTTATGCATGGAACGTTTATCTCATAGAATTGATGTGGCTGTTCATAGTGGGCTTTGGAAGCCCATTCGGCTCACTAGGAATGGACCGCCTCTCACTCATCTTTTTTTCGCAGATGATCTTCTGCTCTTTGCGGAAGCCGAGACAAGACAGATCAGAATAATCAAGCAGTGTTTAGAAGACATTTGCTCAAGTTCCGGGCAGCGGGTCAACTATGCCAAGTCCTTGATGTATGTGTCGCCAAATGTAGACAGGTCAAAGGCTCGTCTGCTGAGCGAGCGGGCGGCGATTCCCCTGAAGTCGGAGCTCGGGAGATATCTTGGCATTCACGGAATTCACGGCCGGGTGACCTCAGGGAGATATCAGGGCCTTCTCTTGCGCATCCAGAAGAAGCTGGCGCCATGGAAGGCTAAGCGACTATCCCTGGCCGCCCGTCTTATTGTTTCCAGGTCCATCATTTCCTCTCTTCCCACATATCATATGCACACGGAGTTACTGCCTAAGGGTGTTTGTGCTTCTATTGATCGCATTAACAGGAACTTTGTCTGGGGAGAAGAGGAAGGAAGATCTAAACTACATCTTGTTGGCTGGGAGAAGATGATCTTGCCCAAGAGCCAAGGAGGGGTTGGCCTTCGCTCTGTGCGGAATGCCAACCTGGCCATGCTTGCCAAGAGTGGTTGGAGACTCCTTAAAGAGAAGGACACGCTTTGGACACAGGTGGTCAGGGATAAGTACTGCCGGAACAAAGAGAATCTGGACCTCTTTCGCTCTGTTCAGGGAAGTTCCTTTACCTGGAAAAGTTCTACCAAAGCTTCTTCCCTTTTGAAGGAAGGATGTGCTTGGAATATAAAAAACGGGAATACCACTAAGGTTTGGAATGATTCTTGGATTGTGCAGGAGCCTCTCAAGAATTTGGTGGTTGGAGAGATTCCTAGCTCGCGGACCGAGGAGGTTGTGGCGGACATGGTGACGGAGGAGGGAGAATGGCGCATCGACCTGTTCGAGGACATCCTCCCCCAGGAGATTCAGCAAAAAATTATCGGGGTGGCGGTGGACAAGCTCTCTAGCGATGAGGACACTCTTTTCTGGTGTTTATCTTCCACGGGAAAGTTCACCACGAAGACGGCGTACCAGCATCTTCTTCCGCAGGAGCCTGACCCTGACGCCAAGTTCTGGAAGATTATTTGGAGCCTTCCTGTCCCGGAGAGGATCCGGTGTTTCATGTGGCTGGTTTGCCTTGGCAGAATCGCGACCAATGCGCACCTTTTCTCGAGGAGAATAGCCGCTGCACCTTACTGCCCTCGGTGTAACGGACAGGTGGAGTCTATTCTTCATATCCTCAAGGATTGCCCCCCCGGCGGCGTATTTCTGGACGAGACAGGTGCCCAACAGTAGGCAGCATGCTTTCTTCTCAGCAGATACTGTTCCTTGGCTGAAGATGAACTTAATGGTGGACGGGGATAAGCACCTGGGGGTCGAGTGGGCAACTTTCTTCAGCATCACCGCTTGGCTCCTGTGGAAGAATCGAAATGACATGTGTTTTAAAGGTATCTCATCCACTCTCACTCCTCCTTCCTTGGCTCACTCGATCCTTGCAAAAGTGAAGCTCTGGAGTGAAGCCTGGAATGCCCCGTCCTTGCTGCCGTGCGGAAGGAGGGCCCCTGCTCCTCGGAGGATGGTGGACATTGCTTGGAGCTCGCCTACTGACGGATGGGTGAAGCTAAACATTGATGGGGCTTCAAATGGAAACCCGGGACCGGCTGGGGCGGGAGGCGTGCTGAGGGATGGTGTCGGGCACTGGATTGTCGGCTTCGTGGCTATGATTGGTGAAGCTTCCGCAGCTTTGGCAGAATTATGGGCCTTTTTTCATGGCTTGGATATCGCGTGGAAGTCAGGGCACCGTCAGATTGAGATCGAGTCGGACTCTCAGCTTGCCATCCAGTTAATTAATGACAGACATGATCCGGTTCATCCTTATGCCACCTTGTTAGCAGCTATTCGCAGGAGGATTAGTCGGGACTGGTTGGTGCCCATCGTTCATGTGTATCGCGAAGGGAATAGAGCCTCGTCTATCCCTACGGGTTACATGAACTTGTACACCCGCCGTCAGGGGTTGTAACCATTCTCCAGGACGATATTCAGGGGGTCTCCTTTGAGCGGCGGATTGTGTCCCGCCATGACACCTCCTCTTCTTCTCATCCCCCCATGTAATCTTTCTTTTTCTTGACTTTTGCCTCCTGCTATGCAAAAAAAAAAAAAAAAAAAAAAAAAACAAACCCATTAAGTCTTGAATTTTCATTTATATTAAACTCAGTTATATAAGATATAGGGAATCCCCGCTTTGACTGGGTATGGGTAAAACCCGCAAAAAGGTTGATGGGTATGTGACGGGTATGGTTTTGGACTCCCCCGCCCCATTCTCATACCCATACCCAAACCTGCCCCACCAAGGGTATTATGTTATATACATAAAATATAAGGAGTCTATTGTAACTTGTCAATGGAATGAAGGGTAATTAAAAGAAAAAAACAAAATGTTAAAATGTAATTGATGGCAACTAAAACGTAATTTCATCCTCTTATGTATTATTCCACAAACTTAGGCGGGTAGTATCCATATTTGTCACCATATTCTTATATTAATGGTGAGCAGGTGATGGGGCGGGTATTAGGGGTGGACAAACGGTTCGGTAAACCCGAACTGAACCGAACCAAAATCGAAATATTGTTATTTGGTTCGGAATTCGGAAGGAAAATATGGATATTTCAGAGATCAATGTTCTTTCAACCGAACCGAAATTCCGATTTTCCGACCAAAAAACCGAAATACTATAATTTCAACATCCAAATGGTGGATTTTTATGTTTGTAGTTGTTTTCAGACTTAAATATTTGAAATGTTTTATGACTTATGTATTAAAAAGTTTGATTTCATCATTGATGATGCATATAATTGCATATTTATTGTTTATATTTGAGGTGAAATATAATCTAAAAGTGAGAAGATACAAGTAGCCTCACAATTCGGTTTTGTGTAAAAAACCGATCCAAATTATAATTTGGTTTAAACCGACCGAACCGAGTTATAATTCGGATCGAATTTGGTTTGAGGCTTTGGAGAATTCAGGGACCCGGTATTCATAATTTTGGTTCGGTCAAAATCGAACCGACCGAATGCCCACCCCTAACGGGTATTACCCATGGGCATCCAAAAATCGCGGGGTATGAGGATGAGTTTGTAAAACTTTACACCGCATGCAGTGGCGGATACATGCATGTTTAGGGGTATCCCGGGACACCCCTAAAATTTGGAAACACGATTATTCATACTACGATAGTAGTTTGCGTATGAGCAAAAAAATGTTTAAGTGGTAGTGAGACACCCTTAAAATTTGGAAAAAGGATTATCCAACCTCCAGTAGTAATTTACGTATTGGTACAAATAATATTTAAGTAATAGTCTATGTGATTTAAACTCGGGACACTGCCACTAGGGGTGGCAATTCGGTTGTCGGTTAGCGGCTAACCGGTCGGTTCAACCGATAACCGTCGGTTAGCGGCTAACCAAAAACCGACGAAATATAACCTCGGTCGGTGGTCGGCAAGGAAGGGTGGCTGTTCGGCTAGCCGAGTAACCGGTGATAATTAACCGCGGCTAACCGAGCTAAACCAAATCAATGCCAAACGACACCGTTCTAGCCCAATCCCCCACAAAAATCGAAACCTAATATCACGACTCTGCCTCTCCTCCACCCTCCAAAACCGTCACTTTCCTTCGACTCTGCCTCTCCTCCACCCTCCAAAATCATTCGTTCCGCCGCCGTCTCCCGTCCCCCGACCCGGTCACTCCGCTCGTCCTCTCCTTCCGACGAACCCGCCACTCCGCCCTTCCTCTCTTCCACTTGCCCCCACAACCACGGATCTCCAGTCCGCCGATCCTCTGCTCTGCCGTTCGCCCCCTTCCTCTTCCTTTCCTTGTCGCACCCCCAAGAACAAAAACCCAGAAACTAAAAAACCCAGGTGGCTATGTAGGAGGGAAGAAGTCAGATCTCTTCGATCTGGTTGGAGATGCAGCCATGCAGGGACCGCGACGAAGAAGGTGGGGATCTGGATTCTAGATCTACGGATTGATGGGTGCGGCGGGAGGATTAGTGACCAGTGGAGCCGTGGAGGGAAGATAGGTCGGAGGGGATGAAGAGTCGCCGCCGTCCTTCCTCTCCGCGAGTCGCCGTCGCCGTCCTTCCTCCTTCTCCGACTTTTGTTTGCGGCTACGGGATTGGTGGGTGGCTGGGTGTGATACTGCGACGGGAGGAGAGTGGAGAGATGAGGAGATGAGGAGAGATGACGGGAGGAGAGTGGAGAGATGAAGAGTCTCACTGTCTGTCTCCATCTATCTCCATTTTCTTTTTTTCTTTTTAGTTTTTTTTAGGTTTTCATATAATTACATAATAAATTAATGATTGTAAATAATATTTTTTTCCGGATAGTCAATTAACCGCGGTTTAACCGTTAACCGGTCGGTCGGTTTGCGGAAAACCGAAGCATGCTAGGTGGCCGGTGACTGTCAGCGTGGTCTCGGTTTAACCGATAACCGAGAAATCGGTTTTCGGTTAAACCGAAACCGACTGACAACCCTAACTGCCACTATTACTAAACATATTTTCAATTACACTACAACTCATTTGTTATTTTGTTTTAGATCCAAATATAATAGTAAAATGTTATTCTTATCACAAATTATTTTCAAAATCTACCGATTAAACCCAATTATGAGATATCCTTATCTAGTAGGATATTTCGAGAGATATTTGTTGAGCAGTATAGACACCGAATGTATTTTAAGAAATTCGTTTGAACTTTTAAAATAACTTTTACTTGTCAGATATTTCATATTTAATAATTATTTAATTTAATTTTTTAGAGAGGACACCACTATTTAGAATTCTTGAATCCGTCATTGATCGTATGAGTATGAGGCGGGTATGAGTTTGGGTATTTGAAAACATAGTTAGTAAAATACGGTATGGGAAATTTACGTATAAAATATGTACGGGTATTGTACTTCGTCTCTTAGCTAATGTTACGTTTAATAGTACGTTAATAGGCATAAGTATATAAAATTAATTATTTTTATAAATAAATAAACATGTAAAAAATAGTAAAGTTATTAATTTATTTTATTAAATACGGATATTAAACGTGTTATACAGGTTTTATACGTGTTTAGTACTGTAGCCGTCAAATGAACGGAAACTAATGAAACGGCTTGACAATAATATGGATACAGAAATTTTAAACGGATAAAGTACATACAGGTATACATGTATTAAACGAAGTATTTACTAACTATATTTGAAAATGAGAATGAAGTTGGTTTAGCAAAGTCGCCCTTGCCATCCTTATTAAGATATTAATTAATGAGAAGTTAAATATAAATCACAAAATATGGTTATTTACAAGAGATCTTGTGTTAAATCTACATGAAAACATTATTTTTTTTTACTGGAAAAGACCTACCTTGGGCCCTTGGCCCGTAACCCCAATGAATATCCCAAAGAAAGAAGTGCCGTAAGAAAAAGTAAAAAAAAAAAAATAACAACAACAATAGAAACTCTGGGTTCTCACCAAAGCCCAGAAATTTTCAAGGATCTATCGCAGCCCACTATGGAGGAAATGCGGAGGCGGCCCAGTTAAGCCGCAATAAGAAAAGAAAATATTAGCCGCGCCGTCGCTCGGATTTCTGATGGTGGGTTGGCCAGCTACGGTTTGGACCGTTAGTCGAACTGAGCTCTACTCTACTCTTCCTAACGGCTCGACTGTGCTTCTCGCCCACAATCGTCTCTGAAACTGCAAATCCCGTATCTCGTATTCGTCTCTCCCGCCTAGGCGAACCATCGAAGATCGATCGGCCTTCAGGAATCAGAGCGCTTGGATTCAGAGGCTGATTCAAATCCCCGAAATGGTGAAAGCGATGAGGGTTTACGAGCTGGGCGGGCCTGAGGTAATTTCAGTTCATTCTCCATTGTGAGGAACCCACCAGCCGAAATCGAAATCCGAAAACGCAAATTAGGCTAATTTTTAGCTATATGTTGCGAAAATTCCTTTTCTTTTGAGATCAGAGTTGTGGTGATCAGTTTTGGTAAACGATTTAGGTACTGAAATGGGAGGATGTGGAGATAGGAGAGCCAGGGGAAGGGCAGATTAGGGTTAAAAACAAGGCGATCGGGCTCAACTTCATTGATACTTACTTCCGCAAAGGAGTCTACAAAGCTCCCAATTTTCCATTCACACCAGGTTGTTTGTTTTCTTCATCTATGATTTGAACACTGGCTACTTACCTGGGTTTATGTCATAATGTGCTTGTAGACAATTATTGGCTAATGGCTATTAGTTAAGTGTTGAGTCTGTGAGTTGTTATCATTGAATGTTGAACTAAGGAAGTCTTTGGTATTTTAGGCGTGGAGGCTGCCGGAGAGGTGATAGCTGTGGGGAATGGGGTAACGGATGTCAAAGTGGGTGATATTGTTGGATATTCAGGTAACCCCATGGGAGCATATACAGAAGAGCAGATTCTCCCTGCCGATAGGGCTATACATCTTCCTCCTTCAATCGACCCCATTGTTGCAGCATCTGTCTTGTCAAAAGGCATGACTGCTCGATTCCTATTACGCCAATGTTTCAAGGTGGGGTTTTTCTGGTACGGCTGAATTGCACATTAAGAAGTTAAATCCCCAGCTATCATGTATCACTTACTGTTTGATTTTTGTACCAGTGGAAAAACAAATAGGAACCTCGTGGTTCATTGTTTTGTCGAAACGACCTCTCGACTCAGTTGCTTATAAATGCTCTCTTCACATGGTATAGGTTGAACCTGGGCACACTATCCTAGTTCATGCAGCAGCAGGAGGAGTAGGGTCTCTACTGTGCCAGTGGGCAAAGTCCCTTGGTGCGACTATTATTGGAACCGTGTCAACCAAGGAGAAGGCTGCACAAGCCACGGAAGATGGATGCCACCATGTCATCAATTACAAAGAAGAAGATTTCGTAGCTCGGGTCACAGAGATAACGTCAGGGAAAGGGGTCGATGTGGCCTATGATTCCGTGGGAAAGGACACGTTTCAGGTACTTGAAATGCATTTTAAGATCCTTCTCTATATTTGGGTTTGGCTCTTAACTTGGAATCATTACTGTCTACGAGCAGGGATCACTGGCATGCTTAAAGATCAGAGGATACATGGTGAGCTTCGGTCAGTCGTCAGGGACTCCCAACCCAGTTCCTCTATCTGCTCTTGCGCCAAAGTGCTTATACTTGACGAGACCTTCTCTCATGATGTACACCGTAACCCGGGAGGAGCTGCTAGCGACGGCTGCTGATGTTTTCGCCAACATGGAGTCAGGGGTGCTGCGAGTTCGGGTTAACCATACGTACCCTTTATCTGAAGCTGCAAAGGCGCATGCGGACTTGGAGAGCCGGAAGACCACTGGGTCTGTGGTGTTGATTCCGTGATGCAGTTCTTCCCATTCTCGTTGGGACATGTAACTGGGTATGTGGTTCCATGTAATGTAACTATCTACCTGCCTTAGTCAAATTGGAATATAGGATACAAGCGTCTATTTGTACTTGATAGTTGATACTACTAGTTCATGAATCCTTAAGCTCAAGCAAGTATGGGTCTCCTAATAACGTATCAGGAGTTAGGTCACGCAATCTGATTAGGTGCTAACCTACTCAAGAAGTCAAAGTCTTTAGATTAAGAAGTCAACCTAATGGTTTGAATTTAATAGAGGGAGGGTATTAGAAAATTTATAATGCGTTATGTGTGGTCATAATGGGTTGTGTAATTACTATTTGCGTATCATGAATTGGTCGGTTATGAATTAATAATTGTATCTAATGTTTCATAGATAAATTTTATTTGGTCATCTAAAAGGGCAAGTCAAGAACTTCAGAAACACTACGAGTGGAGACTTAGAAAATTTTGTACTATATTCACGTGAATCATGTATAGCATTTTCCTAAGGAAATTATACAAATCCATTCTCTGAGTTTCGCATAGGGCTGACAATCTATTCGGTTATAATCGAAACCGTTTGGTCGGTTATCGGTTAACTATTAAACACTTACGGCTTACCGTTAAACACATCGTTTATATTAGTTGGTTAAACATAACCATATATTCGATTTTCGTTTCTCGTGTAGATTAACCGGTTAACCGTTAAGCAAGTGAATCGGCAAGGTTATACCAAAATAATCGATTAGTAACCTAATTACCAACAGAAGACCTCTTCCATTTTTACATTGTACATTTTTGTAGACTTTTTTCTATATACGTATGTGTTCTTTTTACAGGTTTTTGCATTGCAAAATATAATTTAACATAGATATCAATCTATAACAAACTAAATCCAACACAACTACACAATAACATCATTCTACTATCAAATTTAAGTATTTTACTAAGGAAGTAGATCATAATTAAGAGATCCAACAACAATTACTCAATTGGTAAACCCCGCCAAATTACATAGAAGCTCAAATGTTACCCCGATTGTTGTCGAGCTATTATGTGTAAGTTCAACTTTCTACTATGCTCATTCTAAAGACCTTCTAAATATAACGTGTTGTTAAATTTTAAGTGGCAAGTGGCAACCAATGGGTTTACCACAAAAAGGATTGTGTAATTAAATGGTGATATTAGACAACTAGCTTATAACCCGACCCATTGACCGGAATATTCATATTTGATTATTTATATTTTTATGTTACGTTTAAACTAATTAACCAGTTTAATTTTATTGACAATTCTTCGATCGAGATGATACATAAAGAAAGAATATATAGATCTAACATTCGGAGAAATACCATCATCATTTAAGAATATAAAATATAAAATGTATCATTAGTTTCGTTTTCATAATGATAATTAAGCCCTCATTAAAATGCTATTGGTTAGTTGATTGTCAAGAAAGAGGGTATAAAAGCTCAGTGAAATTCCACACGACCCATAGATAGTTTGAAACTAAATTTTAAACATCACAATCCTACATAAGGGTTTAATGCGCTCCTTTTATGAATAATATGCCACTAATCAAAATCAAGACGACTATATACTAACAACTCAGCTAAGAGGGGACCATCAAAACTTGAGAGCAAACGACAAAATTAGGGTTATCTCCAATATACTAATAGACTCAATCAAAGTAATAAGACACAAAATTAGACACTCCTTGTCTACCAGTTCCAGTACGTTGAATAAAGAATCGACATACTTCAATAAATCAATCAATGATTCCTCGTTTTAAGATAGAAATAGGTTGTGATAGATGTAAAAACCATAAATATAAAGATCCTATAGCCACCACTCTTCGTTGTACAACCAAATATTTATCTCAAGAGACATATGTTTCAACCAAAAATTCAATTTCTAATCCTCCTTCTGCAACTCCATTATTTATTAAACTCTTTTACATGCCCAACTTAAATTCCCAACAATAAAACCGACGTGCCAAGAGATACCGGATGATTGATTTTCAAAAGCGTTCTTGTACTGGGAAGTGAAAGGGGTGCAAACTATTGTACGATGGAGGGAATTTTTGAGGAAGTTAGAAAGAGATGAGAACAAAGATAAAAACCATAAAATTTAAATTGAAAAATGCAAGGACACAATATGTAGTGACAAAATTAGTTTTTTCCATGTTAGCCAATTACCAATTTACCTATAGCAAAAATTAAGGAGAGAGAAAGAATTTTAAAATTGAGAAGGGACATGAAACTCTACAATGAAAATTGAAGTATCAAGCACCATAAAAATATATACGGTATACTTAGTGGGCTTGCTAATCATGATGGAAAGTTCTGCGATTTTCAGAGAGTTGAACTTCGTGTATATTTTGTATTCACAAAGACATAACAAATTTTTTTAGTGTAAATGGTTGTGATTGTTGTCTTTGTTTTAACAGACGCGAGTTCAAATCCAGATGATGATATTTTTTAGGGTTAATACCCTAGTTTGACCCGAAGTATAGCGTTAGTGACAGTTCTGGCCCTATTTTCCAAATAAGACATTCGTGACCCACTTTTGAAATTATTGGACAAATTTGACCGAAATTTTCTTTGACCGTTAATATTAACAGTCAAACACTTATTTCGTTAGTGACTCAATCGCTAGGGCTGAAGTGGCAGTGATGTGAGTTCCATGTCATTTATTTATGCTAAAAAAAAAAATTAAATAATAACAAATAAAACAAAAATAAATAGCATAAAAATTATGGATTTCCCGTCCACAAGCGCCTCTACCTTCCCCATCCGTCACGGTAGCCGTCCCCTCAGATTCCACTTCGTCCTCGTCAGCAAAATCGGCGGATTCCCTCATCTTCTCCTTCGAATCGATCTGGAGTAAAATCGAAAGCGATGGGAAGCTAGCAGTTAGGGATCTGAGGCCGACGATTTCGTCTTCTCTCCTCGTCGTCCACTGCACCTTCTCCGTCCACGGCAACCCTCGTTGTTGCCATCCGTCGTCGTTGTCATCCCTTGCCGCCTTCCTTCTTCGCCTCCCCTCTCCAATCGACGACAACCCACAACATCCCTCACCGTTGCCATCGTCCCTAAAAATCCAATCTCAAGCGAAAAGAAAGCAGACTGAATCCAATCGACAGGTCGCTGGAGAGGTTCATGATTCTCGACCTTCTTATTCTAGGTCAAGTAAGCGACGACTGGATCTGGGAGTCATGATGGCGGTGGTGAGTGTGGCGATGTTGAGCCCAACGTTGGTATTTGTTTCACGACCCTTCGTCTCTCTCCGCTCCGTCAACTCCGTCGCCTCCCTCTGCTCCATCGACTTGGCCGCCGGACACACACCAGATCCAAAACTGAATGGTTAAAGGTCGTCCTAAAAATTACTAACCATCGTCCTAACTTAATATGTAATTTACCAAATTGCCCATTTTTAATTTCAAAATCAAACACAAAACAAACAACCCCTCCCCTTCCATAAATCTAAAAAAAATATAAACCAAAATCCAACAAATTATCTTATGGACCGAACCATAAATCGTAGTAAAAGAATAGAAAATTATTGATATAAACCAAACAAATCCAAAAAAAAAACCAAAAATCCTCAACCGAAGCCAATTTTCGGTTGTACCATGGCTCAACCTAAGGCAATTTTCGGTTGTACCATGGACCAACCGAAAATCACCTTCGGTTGCACCATGGTACAACCGAAAATTGCCTTAGGTTGAGCCATGGTACAACCGAAGATGATTTTCGGTTGGTCCATGGTACAACCGAAAATTGCCTTAGGTTGAGCCATGGTATAACCGAAAATTGGCTTCGGTTGAAGGGTTTGGAATTTTTTTTAAAAAAAAAAAATCAGATTTTTACCTCATCGTAGTCGCTACTCATGATTCGGACGTATTCTCAACGATTACAACTCAAGAATGTCAACGATGAATTCGAGAGTGGGAAATTGAGTGTTTTTTATTTTTTTTACTTAAAGTGATGTTTGTTTGCTAAAAATGTCAAAAGGTTAAAAGTGTAACTTTGTTATTTTTTAGGACGATCAATAGTAATTTTAAGGACGACCTTTATCAATTCTCATCCAAAATCCCCTTTTTTTTTCTTATAAACATCCAAAATCCCCATTTCGGCTCAGTGATTGGTCCCGGAAAATCAATTTGGGTAAAGTTCAAAATCTTCTCCAGGAAAAGGAAATGGAAGAGATGAAGACTCCTTTAGAGTCATTGCCACTCGTTGTTGCTATTCTTTTCGGGGGACGGACGTTGCCGGGATACCAAAGACGCAAGAAGGAATCAAGGAAATACAGGCGAAGTGGGAAGAATAATGGCGGAGAGGGTTTTTATTGGCAAGTAATTGACACGGCAACCATGTCATAGCCACCTCGGCATAAGATGTTGAGTCACTAACAGAAAAATACATTGACTGTAAGTTTTAACAGTCAACATCAATTTTGGGCCAAATCTGTCCATTAAATTGAAAAGTAGGTTAGAAATGTCTTATTGAAAAAATCGGGCCTAAACTGACACTTACGCTAAACTTCTGGCTAAACTAGGGTATTAACCATATTTTTTATGTGAGATAAATAATTAATTATAAAGATAAAAATACCCTTCCTACTTTCACTTTCAGTAAATTTGAAATGTGAGATAAATAATTAATTATAAAGACAAAAATACCCTTCCTACTTTCACTTTCAGTAAATTTGAAATGGAGAAAAGTAGACCACAAACAGTATACACTAATATGGGGGACGAAGATCCTGCAATGTTTGCACTTTGCCGGTTTGGTTCTTATTCTTACTCTCGAGGGCTTGGAGTCACAAGGCCCAAGAGCTTAAGGCCCATGTCCTAGCCCACACAAAAATGTTCCTCAAGATATACAGTTTCGTGTTCAGTGATTTACGGGGCAGTGAGTGCTGCCGCTTTTCGGTTCCCTGCATGCGTGGCGGCGGGTGGGTTAAACTGCGAGGGGTGAATGGGTTCGGTGAGAGTGAAGTGGCTAAGTCAAACTCTGCCTACTCTGACGGCTCGAGCTCTTCTTCCACACTATTCTGGTAGCGCAACTTTTGTCCGAAAGCTAACCAGTAATTGCAGAACGCTTCTCTCATATTCGTCTCCTTCAACAACCCATCGAAGATCGGCTGTAAGGGCTCTGGTGTCAACTTCTGATTCAATCACGAAAATGGTGAAAGCGATCAAGGTTCATGAGCTGGGTGGCCCTGAGGTAAGATGATTGTCAAAATCGATTGCTAGTAGATACAATTCAATTGATTTTGGAGGGAACCCAGCAGCTGGAATCGAGAGTCTAATTGGATTCCTGTGCTGATAGCTCTAGGTTGAGGGAATTTCCGTTCATTTCTGAGGGAAATCAAAGTTTCCAGTTTTAGTGAACGTTTGGGGGGTAAATTGTGCAGGTTTTGAAGTGGGAGGATGTGGAGATCGGGCAGCCAGGGGAAGGCGAGATTCTGGTAAAGAATAAAGCGATTGGGCTCAACTTCATTGATACCTATTTCCGTAAAGGAGTTTACCAACCTGCCAAATTGCCATTCACTCCAGGTGGTGTCCTTGTTCTTTTGAATTGCTTTCCTCTTCTGGGTTTAGCTTGTTATTGCTTGTTTCATTTGCTATCTATCGTACAATATGAAAGCTGCTTCAGGGGAAGGATGTTTAATTTGTTGGCGCTGGCCGCTGAGTAGATTTTGTGTATTGTGGAGCAAGAGGGACCGGACCAACTAGCTTGTTCATCCAATTTTGAAGTACTTTCATGCTGAAAGTAGTGAGCTTTTATGTTCTTATTGCATGCTGATCCCACTAGTTTCCTGCTTTGCAGGAATGGAGGCTGTTGGTGAGGTGATTGCTGTGGGAAATGGAGTAACTGACGTTAAAGTGGGCGATATTGTTGGATATGCTGGTAATCCGATGGGAGCATATGCAGAAGAGCAGATACTTCCAGTAGATAGAGCTGTACCTGTTCCTCCTTCAATTGACCCTGTCGTTGCAGCATCTGCCATGCTCAAAGGCATGACTGCTCAGTTTTTATTACACCGGTGTTTCAAGGTCGGAGTTTCTTAGGCTCAATCACATTTCAAAAGGAATGTACAATTTGGTTTTGCCATTCGGCAATCATCGAGGGTTTAGAGCTAGTTACTTTTCAAGTGGCTTAGTTCTCTCTTCTGCATATTACAGGTCGAGCCTGGTCACACCATCCTTGTTCATGCAGCAGCTGGTGGAGTAGGGTCTCTTTTGTGTCAGTGGGGGAAGTCACTCGGTGCCACTGTCATTGGAACGGTGTCGACCAAGGAGAAAGCTGCACAAGCCACTGAGGACGGATGCCACCATGTCATCAATTACAAAGAAGAAGACTTTGTAGCTCGTGTGAATGAGATAACATCCGGCAAGGGGGTCAACGTTGTCTATGATTCTGTGGGGAAGGACACAATTCAGGTAACAGATAATGTTTTCCCTTCACCAACATCTTCCTCGCACCATATGTTATGTCGTCATGTTGCAGAGACTCATCCAACGCTGTTCAACGCGCAGGGGTCATTGTCGTGCTTGAAGATCCGCGGATACTTGGTGGTGTTTGGGCAGTCATCAGGGACACCGGATCCGATTCCTCTGTCCGCTCTAGCGCCAAAGTGCTTGTACCTGACGAGGCCCTCGCTCATGATGTACACCACAACCCGAGAGGAGCTGCTGGAAACTGCCGCCGATGTCTTTGCCAACATGGAATCAGGGGCGCTTCGAGTTCGGGTGAACCACACGTACCCTTTATCCGAGGCGGCAAAGGCGCACTCGGACTTGGAGAGCCGCAAGACCTCAGGTTCTGTTGTATTGATCCCTTGAGGCCTTTGGCTGCATTTTCATCCAGGAAGGAGAGTGAGTCTCAAGTCCACTGGTGCGTGAGGTTGAGAACCTTCATAACTAGTATGTGTTTTATGTAATGGGAAGTGGGAAACTGAACTATTGTACGAGTATGATTGAGACTTTGAGACCAAGAAAATAAGTTTTTGGGCTTGGTGAAGCCCAATAACTTCTGGCAGTCCGGCCCTTACTCGAGGGAAAATTACTAAAATAGGTCAGTATTAGAAAGGCAGGGGCGGTTCGGTTGGACGGAAGTGATTGACAGGTGGGTTCACTTCCAAAGTACAGTCCCATGAAATTCTATTGGTTAGTTAGGTCTGTGTGGCCTTGAAAAAAGAGGCACTCGTCTCTTCCTGAAAATTGAATTCAACAGACTGTTGAATTCCTGACTGTGAAACTATATGGTGAATGGCAGGGATGTAATTAACTTGAAAAGCATGGTCGTTTTATCTTTGTGTGTGACTGGGAGGGAGGAGAAAAGCAAGCTCACGTGATGTTCAGCGGGGAATTTCCATTAATACCAGTCTCTCTCTTTCTCTTCAAAATCCCACACGATCGTTTCTCTCACTCTCACTCCCACAGCCATTGTTGCTTAGCTTGCTTCTCTCTTCACTCTCCCTCTCGTTTCCCTCCTCCCTTTTCGTTTCCTTGCTCTCCAATCCAGCCAGAACGAACAGGTCCGCATCATTTCTTTCCTCTCTGCTTTTTTCTCTCCTTCTTTCTCTTTTCACCGATTAATTGCTCTGTTTTTCCCCCCCGGATGTAGTGAATCCAGACTTCATCGACATAGCCAGTTCCATCGATCTTCCATTTTCTTCGTGGATTCCTGCTCGTCGATTCCAGTAGTTCCCAGTCTCGTTGATTCCGTTCTGAATCGGTGCTAGCTGCATATAGGGAGAAGGTATTGATCTTCGTTCTTCTTTTCCTCTGCTCCTCTCCGAATTCTTCAGAGTTTCCGTTGATTGTTGGTCTTTTCAACAAAATTGAAATAAGAATCGGAAAATGAAGAATCGTGTTTGGAATCTCCCTTCTGCGTATTTGTTTGGTTAGATTAATTACCGTTTTGATACTATATCGTTCATCTTCTTCTCCCGTCGAGTCTGCCTTCTGGCTTCGTTTTCTTTTAGTGCAATACTTGAATAGAACAGTAGGTGTCTGCGTTCTTTTGGTTTTTTTTTCCCCCGATTCGAGCTAAAAGCACCGTCGCCCGTGCTGGATTTTCCTTCTGAAGTTAACTAAGCTGGTTTCGGTTTAGTTCAGGAGCAATTCACACAATAGAGCTTCTGAATTGGTTCAACACTCAGTTCAGAATTTCACTATTCCTTCCTTCTCAACTAAATCTGCATTCGTTGATGATCGGTGTTTCCGACGCCCGCTTGTTGTATAAGTTCATTTACGGTCGTTTCTTCGTTTCAGGAACAAAATCGACGATGGAGCTTCTTCACGATGCTGCTGCAAGGAGTCTGACTGTAAGCTGCTGCTGCTGCTCTCTCTCTCACTGTCACTCTCGCTCTCCCTTTCTCTCTCTTGCTCTCTGCAAAACACACGCTCTTTCTCCGGGGACGAAAATTTGATTCGCTTTTTCTGTTATTCCTTTTTGCCATCTAGAATTGAAACCCCTCCACGCTCGTTATCCCACATGCAGTCTCCACGCGCTTGTGGGCGAGCAAAGGTGGCCCCACTTGGGATTTCTTTCTTCCCTTCCCGCCATTGTCTCAGTCACGCGCGTGACGCGCTGCGCGATGGCGGAAACCAGCATTAATTGCTGAATTCCTCAGTTTTACGTGGGAATGTCTCCTCTAAACAAACAGCAAAAGAAATGAAAAAAAAAAAAAAGAAATACGATTTGAGATAGCAGAGTAATGATGATAGAAGGGAATAACAATCCCCAAATTAGGATGGCGAAATGAAACGGAATGGCTATGATGTTTTCTTCTTCTTCTCTGATACACGAGGAATTGGAACTTTTTTTTTTACATGCAGGCAATGATGTACTCAAAGGGCCACGAACCACCAATGGCGTCAGAGGACTGCTACTACGCCGCCGCGAGAAGACCTCTTTTGGAAGCACCGGAGTTGGGTTTGCCTTTGGCGCCCGTGTTAGAATATTCACACACTTGGGTACAAGGTATAACCCATTCCACTTATAGCAGCAGCCAGCAATCTTCTCTCTCCCTCTTTTTCTCTCGATATATATCTCGGCCCCCTTTTTCCCCCTCTCCTGCGAGGCTGCGACGTTCCTGATTAGCCCTTATCTTCTCTTCCAATTCGCAAGTATTGTTGATATGTCGTCCCAGCTTTCTCCTTCTCTGGTTCAAACTCTGAGTTCGTCTCCACCGTCTTTCACGCTTGCAGATCCAGCGGAGCACATTAAAGTGAACTGTTTATATGAAATCGACCATTCCATGCTCCCTAACAGAGCACCTGATCAACTCAAGAGTGTTCGAGTTGTCATGGTAATTCTTTTGGACCCAGCTCTTTCGTCTTCTTCTCCAATTTCCTTCCTCTTCCTGTTTCTCTGTTTGCCAGACGTTTCTGCTTCAGCTTTCTCTGTTTTTTCTTCTTCTCATTTCCGCCTCTGGGTTTGTCTGATTTTTCAGGTGAATGAGAAAACGAGGATGAGGGTTTCGCTGAGGTACCCAAGCATTTACTCTATCCGAGCTTACTTCAACGACGGTACTGGGTGTTCTGGGCCGGAAGTAAAGCACATCCCGATGCTAGACGAGAGATGTGTAATCGGTTCTGAAGTTGCAGGGGAGGCTCTTTACCGGCGAATTCTGCCTGACGAGGTAGCGAAGAAAAAATGGGACTGGAACTTCTGGATAGTTCCTTCTGTTGCTTCCCAGAAGGTCTCGAATCTCCGCCTAAAGGGTTCCTCGTCTACGAACAATGGCAGTGGTGCATTGACCAAGGATTCACTCTTGTCGGAACTCAAGACTCCCGGGATAGTCAACTGGGGTCAACGCCGGAGAGTTAGGTTTATGGGCAGGCATGTGGAGGATAAGGAAGAACCTTCTGATTGGATGGAGAAAAATGATAAGGATGATGGGAGTGATGGGGAAGAAGACCAGAGTGATCCGGCGAGTGGTGAAGAGGAATGTGAGGAAGAAGAAGATACAGAGGAGGTGATTGTGAAGGCTAAGACGAGAGAATGCAGGGAGAATCTGAAAAGAAAGAAGAATCAGTTACCATCCTCTACAATCCAGCTGAGGAAGAGGCCAAAACGTGGAAAGAACAAGAATCAGATCGTTGTTTACAGGCAGAAGATCAATAAGAAGAAGAAGGTGGTGAAAAAGACGATTGACAGATGGTCTGCTGAAAGGTAAGTGCTATGATCAACCTGATGCTTCGTAAATTACTTAATGGTTTGACTAATGTGTATTTAAGGAATGATTATTATGTTTGTGAAGGTATCAACTAGCTGAGGTGAACATGTTGAAGATAATGAAAGAGGAGAAGGCACTGTTTGGGAACCCAATGTTAAGGCCAGTATTGAGAGCAAAAGCGAGGAGGCTGATTGGAGATACTGGTCTGTTGGACCATTTGCTGAAGCATATGGCAGGGAAGGTGGCGCCAGGAGGTGAAGAAAGGTTCCGGAGGCGGCACAATGCAGAAGGTTCAATGGAGTATTGGTTGGAGAAGGCCAATCTGCTAGACTTAAGGAGGGAGGCTGGAGTGCAAGATCCATACTGGATTCCACCACCTGGTTGGAAGCCTGGTGATAACCCCTCTCAGGACCCTGTATGCGCTACCCAGATCAAGAAACTAACTGAGCAAGTTGAGAAACTGAAAAGGTAATCCTGCCCTTTCCTTTGATATCTTTTCTCTTTTCATTCCTATTAAGCTGCTGTGGTCTTTTGCTACTCGTGTACTGATGATGAATTGGAAATCAGGGACATGGAAGACCTGGCTTCCAAGAAACAGGAGGAAGAACTAGCCATTGCAGCCATGCCAATTTCTTCATCACTTACCACTTTAAGCATGGAACATGACAACCTACTTACTCCACTCAAGGTACATATCTGAAATTCCTCGACTCTTCTGACTTCTAATTGTCAGTCCTCTAATCGGAGGCGTAACCTTTGCAGGAGATGTTCATCGATCTGTCCAATAAGAAGGCTAAAATTGAAGAACAACTGACCGAAATCTCTGAGTCCTTACTTACCATGGAGGTATTATATTGAATGAAAGTCAAATTCCTTAACATCACATTTAGGTCATTAATAATGTCTACTTATGGTGTCATATTAGGAAGCAATGGCCACAAGAAATAGAGCAGAAGAGAAACAACTGGAACGACCGCAGCAACTAGAAGAAGAAACAATGACACAGCTCATGATCACACAATCGGTGGAACATCATTTTGAGGAAGGAAACCGGAGCCAAAACTCAACTACACCGACTCCAATGGAAGACAGAGCAGCCAAAATACAAAGGCTGAGATCAAGCGGGTTCAGGATATGCAAGCCAGGGGGGACTTTCCTGTGGCCTGACATGGCTACAGCCTCCTCTCCAACAGTCCACCTCGATGGCTTCCTCGCTAGAACTCCTTCTTCTGTCTCTTCCTTATCCTCCTCCATAACTACACTCACCTCCGCCGACTCTCAGCACTCTCCTTCCCCATTGATGAGGCCAGTAGCTGAAAGGACATCCGAATTCGCAATAGCTCTAACCACACCACCTTCTTCCTCTGCTGTTCCTTCTATCCTCCGTCGACAGGGGAGAAACAACAGCGCTACTCCTAGAACTCCTCTGATCAACCTCAACGAAGTTCCCAGAATCCGAACTGAGAATCCGATTCAAGTCTCCCCTGGTCCAGTCACCTACCAGAGAAGAAACCATCATCAGAGTTTCAGTGCTGGAACTGTAAGTAGTTGTCACTCATGAACTTGTTATTGTTTGTGAGTTTTTGACACAGACCGTAGACTTCAAATTTTCTACTATCTTACTGCTCTCTGTGTGTTGGAATGGCAGATGGCAGCTGCATCATGCCTTCCGTTGGGAGTACAGACATGGCTGGCTATCGGCGGTGGTAATCCGTCGTCGGAGAAGGACTGCAAGCGAGGCTAAGTTAGGAGAAATGCTACTATAGTTATACATTAGAACAGTTATTATTCTGGTATGAATTTAACCCCATCTCCTTACATAGTCAAATTGGCCCATTGACTAATATGGTCGGAATACAAGGGGAGAGGGGCTCCCACTGCTTCTGAGTTTAGTGTCATTGCTAAGGGGAAGAGTATTTTTGATACGCAGGCCAAAACTTTACCATTAGAGCTAATAATTACATAAGCTGTGATTAAGAACCATTCATGTCTGGTTAAGTGGGTTTTCATTTTGCAATCTGTTTGAGTTTGTTTATATAATAGACTACTATTATGATCATCAATGTGATCACAAACCATGAACTCGAACAGCAGTCTCTCGGTTCAGGTGAGAGCCGAGTATCCTAACCAAGACTACAACAGAGATGACGGTAGCTATTCTTTTACAACAACAAAAAAAAATTGGTAATCCGCCATTACCTGAGCGTTTCAGCTGTACTGGAAAGCATTGAGCAACCAGTTTACAGAAGATACCTTCCTTAGGAAGCTTCGCCTAAATTAAGAAAAACCCTACAGCAGTACACCAGTTTTGTTTCCTACTGCTAATCTTGTTTCTCTACATGGATTTGTATTAATCTAGAGTCTGGCATATCCATTCAAGTTGTTGTTGTGGCTACTGATAGCTTCAAGGCTGATGCAACGGGATAGTGCAGCCGTCAGTTTCTTCAAATCATCCACTGAGTGTGTCGCGCTAAGAGTCACTCTTAATCTGTTTAAAAAAGGAGAGAGAGAGAAACAATTCAAGTTAGTCTTCTCTACCTGCTCAATCTAAAGTTCCAACTACAGATGGCCCTTTCAGAATGGCATCACTGAACTTCTACATCAAACTCCAATGCTAACAACTTACTCCAAGCAGTATTTGGATTTCAATAGTTCATGTATATATTATGCCACACAGAATACCTGCATGAGTTGGACGGCACAGTAGGAGGGCGGATTGCAGTGACGTGAAAACCAGATTCCAACATGTACCTGATTCACAGAAACTAGCACAGTTACAAGCTGTTGCAGCAATTCCTAACTACTCATGCATATCCATGCACAGAGAGAGAGAGGGAGCGAGAGACCGGCTAGCTCGCAGGGCTTTCTCTTCACTGCCTACAACAAGGGAGATAATAGGGCTGGTGATAGGGATCCCAGTAAGAATCCGAAAGTCTTGGACCCTCTTCCAAATTTCCCTTCTTCGCCACGCTTCCTTTTCCGCCACAATAACAGCAGCTGGTGGTTTATGCAGACAGTGTTAATAACTGAAAACAGATGCAAAACAAGAAAAAGAATGGCAGTAAAATTCACCATGGGCAGCTGCTGCAACAGGAACTGGTATAGCAGTTGAGAATATAAATGAGCGGCCTCTTGATTGTATGAGTTGCTTCCATCTTTTACTGTCAAATGGTTGTCACACAACTGCAAGTGTTACTTATATGCAAGGGAAATTTTGCATGGACTGAGAGATAAAAGACTCATGAATTGAGTTAATTTGTATTACCTGCATGCTATGAATCCCCCATGGCAACCAGCAGCTTTACTCAGTGTGCCAACGCATATATCGACATCTCTTTCACAATTAAACTCCTGAGCAACTCCACCACCATCCTTGCCACAAACAAATGTTCCATGGGCCTGAAAATAATTCTTGGCAGAGTTACTAGTCTCTTATTATCGACATTATACAGTTATAGCAAGGTGTGTACCATGGAAGGCTAGTTGATCATTGGCTCTCAAAACATTTTCCTCCAAGCACATACACCCAGCCTTTCGGGAAAAACTTACATCATCGATGATCAACAAAAAGCCATGCCTCTTCCGAAGATTCACAAGTTCAGCCATTGGTGCAAAGTCTCCATCCATACTAAACAAACTATATAACCCCAAAGAACATCCATTTAGTATCTCACCACATGCAAGAAAACCCTACAGCTGGCACATAACTACTTCATACGAAGCTGAAAGTTTTTATCCACCATGCTAATACGAATCCACCAAAGTTAATGTAGCACTTAGAGGTTGACTAACCTATCAGTCACAACAACCTTCTTCTTCAAAGAGCAGCTTGAGCTGTAAAACAAATTCGTACAACAATGAGATGAGTACCATAAAAGCAGAATGCTAGCAAAATAGTGTAAGAGTAAGGGTGAAGGTAAAGTTAAGCGCTTACAGTAATGAACTAAGGTGGGACATGTCACAATGCCTATACACATAGACCTCAATTGTCTGTTGTCGCTCAGCAAGACGAATACCATCAATTATTGAAGCATGGTTCAGAGCATCTGAAAAAACAGCAATCTTTTCTTCCATTTGAGGTTTCTTCTGAGACGTGGCCAAAAGAGAGCCAATGCTTCCAACAGATACCATTACGGCCATATTGGCTGAAAACCCTGAAGGGCAAAGAAGGCAGTCCTACAGCAGATAATGCAATAGCAGGTATAAGGTTTCAGTTTAGGAGGCAAAGAAAGGATTATCCATGTAAAACCGAATATCAGACTAATCCGTAGGTGTTGGATAATATTACACAGCACTTAGTGTACTAGAAACTAAGAAACTGAATTACAAGGATTTCAACCTTAAAGGTTGGAGAATTGGAGTACAAGATCCTAAGAAGTCATAGTTAACAATGCAGTGAGGTTACGAACATAAAATTATTTTACCTCTTTTTTCTTCAAGTCTGCCAAGCAAGATTCAAGCAGTCTATGGTAATTAGTGTAACCACAGATTAAAGCAGAACCTCTCGGCCCCATTCCATGATCTTGAGCTGCCTGATTATAGCAATAGAGTTCAGTGCACTCTTAGTAAAGTAATTAGCCACACCATTTGAGATATGAAAGGGGCAAACATCAAACAAACCTTGGCAGCAGCTTTGCCAATAGAGGGATGCGAACTCAAGCCCAAGTAATCATTTCCAGAGAACAGAAGTAGCTTCTTGAACTGCCCAGCTCGCTGCTCAACACCACCACCACTGCAAGAATCATCTTCTCCTGCAAACCCAATATTATCAAAATGAGTCATATACGCCAACCAAAACGCCCATTGGTGCAATTTTGGACAAGAACAAATAACCCCCGTTTTACAAACTCACCGACACTGGCAGCCTCAAGGAGCCAATTGCGAAACGTGGCCTCTGAAACCGATACCTCAACGGAGGACCGATCCCACGGCTGCATTTCGTCGAACACCTCGTAATCGTGGCCAAGAGACGGAGCCAGCATTGATGGGAGAGGTTGTTCGGTGGAAAGGGTAATGGGTCTCAACGACCGAAGCAGCTTGGTGGATTGAAGCTTCGACAATGCCTCCCCAACCCAGTCGTCCCAGGAGCAGCTCTTCTTCCCCTCCATTGACGAGCCGGAGTAGACAGCTAAGCTCAATCCTTCTTCCCCTTGCCTTCTTGACACCCGCCGGTGAGTGAATAGGCAGAAGAAACGTTTGGAGGGAAGGGAAACCCGCCAACGTTTCCCCTGACCTCGTCCTTTACGCCCTTCTTTTTACAGCCAATTATGCGATTTTTTGTTTCTATTGTTCAACAAAAAGATAAAAGTAAATTATATATAATAGCTCAGAAGAGAAGGCCCATTGAGCAACCAACGCCCATTTTTGGCGGGCCGAAGCCCATAATCTAAGACTTGGAAAAGGGACAAATAAAAAAACAGAGAGAGAGAGAGAGAAAGAACACGCAACGGGCAGAGGGGATATGGCGATTGACAACTTTGGTCTGATCAGTGGGGTTAGCTTTACCTTGTTAAACACGGTCAGCTCTGGTCCTTCCTTCCCTTCTTCTCAAACTCTAGGGTTCGTCGGGCCTGGGAATTTGATTTGTTTTTTTTCCTCCCAAGAAATTCCACCCAAGAAGATAATTCAGCGATGGTGCTGAAACAGAAGCTTCACGACGCTTTCAAAGGCACGGTTGAGAGAATTACGAGTCCCCGCACCGTCTCCGCCTTCAAGGAGAAGGGCGTCCTCAGCGTCAGCGAGTTCATTCTCGCCGGCGACAATCTCGTCTCCAAGTGCCCTACCTGGTCATGGTAAATTTCTCTATTTTCAATCTTCCCCTGGTCATCGTGAGCTCATCCAAACGACCCCTTGGAGGGTTTGGGGAATCTTGCTAAGTTGAATCTGGAGCTGTTTCCTTGCTTGGCCGATTGAAATTTGCTTCCTGTCTGTGTTGTTTTGATTTTCATCGGGTCAATTCGTTCAATTCCAACAAAGGGATTGTAAAAGATGCGAACTTTGCTACAGTCCCACTAGCAAAAAGTTTTGAGCTTTCTCGGGCTTGTATTGACTTTATATAAGCTGGTGTTTGCTATTAACGTTCCTGTCAATTTCTGTTCCATAGGGAATCAGGTGAGCCCAGCAAGAGGAAGCCTTACTTACCAGCTGATAAGCAGTTTCTAATTACTCGAAATGGTAAGGCGCTGTTAGTTAAATTTTCCTTTTATCTGTTATGGTTTGTTGTTCTGCTACTCCTGCTTTTCCCACTGAAATATTGAGCAAACTTGTAACTTGTTGTATGCTTCTGATGTGGAGGAGCTACTGATGGGCTCTTATATGTAATTGGGTTTAGATTTTATATTCACCTACTTTGGTTCTTCACATTACGGTGCACCAGTTTCGTGACAAGTTTTGAACCTGCTTTTTCAGTTCCTTGTCTACGTAGAGCTGCCTCTATTGAGGAAGATTACATAGCTAGTGGGGGTGAGGTCTTACTCGATAATGATGACGATGAGAACGACGCCTGGGTTGCCACTCATGGAACACCGAAAGGTGAAATTTTGAACTCGACAACTAAGTTGCCGTTGTAATAAGGGGTTCATTATCTGACTTTCATGCTTCTTCATTCTGGTTTCTAGAGACGAAAGCTGGTGAAGAGGACAATGTGCCTTCTATGGAGGCCCTTGAAATCAGCAGAAAGGGTCCTATCCAACCAATTCCATCATACTTTGGGGATCCAGAAGAAGATGATATCCCTGACATGGC